TTGGAACTAGATGTCTTTTCATGTCCTTTCCAACCCAAACCATTCTATGATTCTATTATCTTGGTTTCAGAAGACTAGAGTGACATCAGAACTGAGGATGGGCTCTGAGGGTATGAGAACAACCTCACAATCTGTGCATTTTCACTGTGGTCATCTTGGACCATTTTGCAGTGGAAAGTGGGTGGTCTGCAAGTGTGTTCAAAAAGCATGGCTAGCTGTGGTGTGAAGCTGGACTGAGGCTGGTTGCAAGTTCAATGAAATTCAAGTGATGAGTACCTGAGGTTTAGAAATTGCTGTGACAGGATGCACACTTACTGAGCAGTCTGGCTGGCAACTGAGCACAGCTTTCAGTTGTGGTGTATATACACAGTGAGAATACGTGTTCCTTTAATCCTTGTATAACCTAGCAGCTCCACCTACCCTGGAGACCGAAATTCTCATTGACTCATTGAGCATGCCCAGCAAAATCTCCTCCTGAGCATTCTCCTCTCCCTTTTCTGCCAGTTGTAAGGGCAGAGGTTCAAAAGATCTCCATAGAGATTAACAATATAAATCCATTCACCCTTTTCCCAGGAGTAGATAATACTTGGATGTGCATTTACTTGGCAGTGGCCCTGATTACATTGTGAACTCCTTCCTATCCTCCAACCATCAGATACATATTTTGAATGGGAAGGTACCTCCAGTAAATGGCATTTAATAGCAAGCATTATTTAATGTCTTTACTGGAAGGGATGCTGCTAAACCCAGGGAAGTCGTGTCACTTTTAATTCCTCTGGCTCCATCAGCAAAGATGTGAGATGTGCTTTGTAACACAGATCTTTTTCTCAGAGACTTTCACAGATGTGATCATTCCACAAGCATTATCCACTCACTAAAGATCCCAGCCTTCTGCTCAGTTAATACCAACAGCTCTGAAAAATTAACTATCTTACTAATCTCTGTAAAGTAAACAGCATTATGTCCTTAAAAATAACAATATTTAGTCACCTCCAGAATTTTCAAAGCAATCATTCACCTCCAGGATCTGGTGCATTTAGCCAATGCACCTAAAGAATGCAGAATCAGAATTGTGGAATGATACAGGTTGGAAGGGACCTCTGGAGATCACCAGGTCCAACCCCCACTGCAGAGGTGATAACTTCAAAAACAGATCAGGTCATTCACAGTGATGTCCAGCTGAATACTGGACATCACTTAGGATGGAGATTTCATAACCACTTTAACTGATTTCAGACCATTCTCCAGGTGAATATTTTTTTCTTAATTTCCAATTGGAACACAGAATCACAGAATGGTTTAAGCAAAAAGGAACCTGAGAAATCATTTAGTTCCAACCACTGCCATGGGCAGGGACACTTTCCACTGGACCAGAGCCCCATCCAACATGTCTTTGAACACTTTCAGTGATGGAGCATCCACAGCTTCTCTGAGTAACCTCTTCCAGTGTCTCACCACCCTCACAGGCAAGAATTTCTTCCAATTTAATGCTAGCCTAAACCAATCTAAACCTACCCTCCATCATCCTAATGCTCTTAGCTCTTGTTCTATCATTCCATGCCCTTTTAAAAAGTTCACCTCCAGCTCTCTTGTAGCCCCCTTAGGTACTGCAAGGTGCTATATGGTCTCCCCAGAGCCTTCTCCTCTCTAGGCTGAACAACCCTAACTCTCCCAGTCTGTCTTCACAGCAGAGGTGCTCCAGTGCCAGGATCATCTCCATGACCTCCTCTGCACTCCTCCAACAGCTCCATGTCCTTCTCACCCTGGGGCCCCCAAGCTGGATGCAGCACTGCAGGCTGTCTCACTGGGGTCTCACACAAGAGCAGAGGGACAGAATTCCCTCCCTCCAGCAGCTGGTCACTCTGCTTGTGGTGCAGCCCAGGCCACCAGCGGCTTTGGCAGCTCATGGCAGTGCCATTGACAGCTCATGCTGAGCTCCTCACAAACCAACACCCCCAAGTCAGCGCCTGATGTTGTGACCCTCACTCGTTGCATCCCATCCAATTGCTGTGCACCTCCCAGGAGAGTTAGCTTTTACTCTTTCTACCCACCCCTAAGGTCCCTAAGGTATCTGGAGACAGCAGTAAGATTTTTCCCCTTAAACTTCTCTTTCTAGGAGTGATAAACTCAGTTCTTCCTGTCTTTACACATCATACGCAAGTCTGCTCATCACCTTGATTACCTTCAACTGGACTTCCCCCTGTGAGGAACCCCAAATCAGACATAAAATTCCAAGTTTTGTTGGATAGGGGGAAATAGTTATAACCCCAAACCTGATGGACACAATCTTGCTCATACAGGCCAGGATGCTCCTGCTCCAAGATGTGCCCAAGAGATTCATCAGGTCCTTATCTCAATAAGGACTTGCTGTCCTCCCAGTACAGACTGCCTGTACTCTTGTAGAGGTCTATTCCATCCCAGGCACACCTTTGCATTTCCATATACATACATATATATATACACACACATTATATCTATACATATATTTGTCTACATTCTCTATTTCCCTTTACTTCTCAACTGACCCATTCAGCTCCAGCATCTGCCAATATGTATTTTTTAAAGTTGAGTAAGATAATGGAAGTATTAATGATTTTTCATGAGAACATAATCCAGTTTTACTTATTTAGATTTAATACATTTTTATTTTCATTTCCCTTTAAATGTAATTTTTGTCCATTTGTTCCTGAAACAAAAAATAATAATCTATTTTCAGGAGCACATATTTTATAATTTGTGGTTGATTATATTAATTCTGGGTCATTGGTTTTTCTGAGAAGAGCCCACGCAACAAAAAGCTCTCAGCCTTGGAGCTGCTAAGTGTTTTGATCAATATAACGACAGTCAAGGATGTTTTGTACCTTACAAACCAGGAATTTTAAATCAAGAGGCTTTATGAAAGGCTGCAAACCCCATTTGTCCTTTGAGTTGTAAGTAAAAAACCTACTCATTCCAAAATTGTCAGTTTTGTGCATGAAAGATAAAATAATAATTTCTCCCCCCAAAAGATGGCAGTTTATTTCCAAAAGGATGCTATAGTCTCTAAGGCTACATTTGTTCCAGTACGACAATAGGATCCCTGGTTCTGAGAATGAGTAGTGCAGCACTGAGTGAATTCATACAGGGAAGATCCCATCCCACCGAAACAAGGTCCTGGACCTGTTTTGGATATGCTGCTTTGTATTTCCCTTGGTAGCACAGAGGAACAAGCAGCAGCAGTGGAAAACATCTTGTTCATTACCCTTTGTTATTGTTACTTGCTGTTTTCATTAAAAAATCCAAAGAGATTCAGGAGAGGCAGGAGGAAGCACCAGTTTGGCATCCTCCGTTGGTTTACCACGAGCATGGAATGCATGGGGTGCAGCCTGAACATCTCTGTTTGGGTCTTCTCCCCAACTCTCTCAAACTGCAGTTCACCAGCAAATGTCACTGTCACCTGATGATAACACAGATGCCCTTCCTTCCCCCAAGAGATGCAAACTGTGAGCCCCACGTTAGTGCCTGCCAGTTTCTCACCTCACGTGTCTGACCCAAAAGCTCTTTGGACCTGTTATCCCAGGACTGTCTGGAGAAGCAGAGTGCCAGCACCAGCTCAGCCCTGCCTGGATGCCATCCAGGGCTTTGTAGGCTGCAGCTGGCTGGCATCCCTGCATGGAGCTGGGGCACAGGGAATCCTACTCGGTGGGGTTAGATTCTGACTTCTGCTGCGAAGCCCAGAATCCCACTGCTCACCACAATTAGCGTGCTAAAAACCACGGGGAATGCTCAAGCAAACCGGGGGAAATGCTCAAGCATTTCATTAATGGCTAATGTTATTGAATAGACAATTAATAAGAGCAGTCAAGTGAATGATTATTTCTAATAAAAGGCCCGACAATTGCTAACAAGTTAGGAAATGCCAGCACAGAAGTTCTCTAAGAAATAATCCCCTGCCACATTGCCGCTACGCAGAATAACCAGGGTTACTAACAGGTTTCCTGGGTGCGCAGTGTAGCCTATCTGGGAGCAAGGAAATTCCCGTGGCGCCTCACTAACACATTTTTAGAGGAGCCCAGGGACAATTTCACGGGGATGCTAACTTTCTGCGGCTGGCACGGAATACGCCCCGAGGGGGCGAAGCCACCCCGAGACAAAGCCGGGGCCGATTCCGCACGGTGCGGGCAGGGGATGGGCGGCGGGCAGGGCAAGGACAGCGGCCAGCGGGCTGGGGTAGGAGCAGGGGCGGCACGGACAGGGCAGGGACAGGCGGCTGGGGCAGGGGCCGGCGGCTCTGCCCTCCCGCTCGGCCCGGCGCCGGTTCCGACCCGCGCACGGACATGACTAAGCAGC